AGTATCTTTTGACTTTGACATACTTTGAATTATATTTTAAATAGTTTAGATTATGGACCTAAAACAAAAAAAAAAAAAATTGTTAAGAAATAGGTTGAAATAGTTGTGCCGTTTAAAAAAAATCATGCAATAAAAATTATTATTCAACTAAAAAACTTATGATGTCCGGATAACTACCTATGCTTGTTTGTAGACAGGTTTATCGTTAAAAAATTGTACATAAATATGCAGTATAACATCAAAAACAAGTTTTACTAAGAGTGCAATGAATGTTACAACATAAAAATTTAACATCACCTTATTACCAAAAAAAACGATTAAAATTCTTCACTTTTCACGGAAAATTAAATTATGTGGCCAACTTTATGCTTATTTTTTTGAAATTTATTTTTATTATATCTATATGATATTGGGAACAAGTCTACTTAATGCCACTAAGGCAGTTTCATTTTAAAAAAATACTCTCATTTAGTTAACACTTTTTTCGTTTTATGTTACACAACACATGTGTCCGGATATTTTTTGTAGGGGAGTGTACAAAGTTTTGGGCAGGTAAATGGCAAGGAAAGCTTGAATACTATAAAGCAATTTCAGATATATCTGTTTGTCCAGCATTTTTATTATGCTCAGCAGGACTATGGCTATGTATTTCTGGTAAGAAATATGTTTATCAGTTTTTGGTTATTCAATATGCTAACTATACATGCAGCCCAAATTGGTTCAGTGATTTCAATGGTCAAAATTATTCCAATTTTGATGGTGGAAAGTAGAAATTAATTATGGCACTCACTATTAAAAACATAAATGTAACACCCCTTTATTACATGTGTAACCCCCTTTATGAGTGTCAAAATACTTTGGGCTGCATGTATAATGCTAACATCTCTTTAGGTATGGTTTTTACAGATTCTGTGAAAGTGGATCACCTCATAGACATGATTCCCATAGTCCCTACAATGGATTATATGCAACTTACACGAATTGCTAGGATATTTGCTGCTTTATGTAAATCTTGAACAAAGGTGAAAAACATTTAAAGATTACCTGTGATAATGCTGGTGGACAAAATAAAAATAATGTAACAATTTGATTCTATTTATATTTGGTAATTTGTAGTTATTACAAAACCATTGGATTGAATTTCATGATTCCAGGATATACCAAATTCAAATTTGATGGTAGTTTTGGCATGGTTAAAGAACTCTACAGAAGAACAAGAGTAGATTGTGTATATCATGTGGTTTCAGTGGTAAAAAAGTCTAGTCCAGCAGGATTGAATAAGGCTCAATGTTATGAAGGTGGAAAAGGTTTTTGATACTTAGATATTAAAGCTATTTTGGGAATTTATTTTAAGAAATTATCAAACATACAAAAATATCAACATTTTCTTTTTGAAGCATCTAATATTGGTACAGAGAAATTGCTAATGTGGACCTTTACTGAATTCAATTTATTGAAAACCAAGAAATTAATAAATCTTTATCTATTTTAGTGTTAACACCACCTCCTTTGGATTATAAAAGGCAAGAATATCTTTACCAGAATATTTGCCCATTTGTGAAAGATGAATACAAAGATATTACTTGCCCAAGACCAATTTATACTGGCAATGAATAAAATATTTAGAATAAAATCACCTCTATGTCTTCTTACTGTCATTATGTTTAATAAGTTTAATCTTTTGTTAAATATTGTTAGCTTTTTCCACTTTTAAAGTAAAAAAGTACTAAAATAATTATATACTTAACATATCCTAAGGATATATAAGTGTATTAAAAGAATAAATAAAAAAAGGAACAATCAAGAAAATCATGACAAACATCCTAAAAGAACAACAACAAGCAAATAAAGAACTAATCAATGGAATTGAAACATTGAAAAAGCAATTATCCAATAAAGAACAAGAAATCACTGAATTAAAAAATTTTTTATCATTAAATTTAACAAAACATATAAACTATATAAATTATTACGGACATTTTTCCTAATACCAACACTAAGCCAAATTAAAATGGTCTGTTACATAGAAAGTGATCGATTATTAATTTATAATCTTTGAAGAAATTGTTGGTAGAAGAGAAAGCTGACGGGATTTAGAAGGAGAACCCCCCTTCTAGATAAAATTTGAGTACAAATAGGACATTATGACTTGTATTTGGTGGTCTTTTAATGCTATTGAGTAACATCGAAACTATTCAAATACTGCTCAAATTTCCCTCACTTTGATTCTCAGGTATCATTGATCTATTTCCTTTTCACTAATACAGTAATGTAACTAGCTATCTTTGTATAATAACAAAACTATTCAATATCTTTTAAGCATAAAGAATAAAATATTGCAAAATCTTTAAGTGAATAATTATTTTCCTAACCATTGAATTGATTTAGAGTAAGTAATTTAGGTAAAGATAATGACAAATTGCTATAAATTTCACACAGCAAGAATAATGACAAACTGCTATAAATTTTACACAGCAAGTATAGTGGCATATGCTATAGGTTACTTTAGCAGAGAATTGGTATTGTTGTATATATAGAATTGGAATGATAGTGTCAAGATTCTTCTTTTTGCTCTTTGTTGAATATGATCCCTCTGTTCCTCAAACACATCATCATGTTCAAGCATTTCACTTGACCTAAGTGAGGAATATGGGTTAATCAACCAACTTCAAATATGATGCAACATACATGCATGTATTGTTTCACATTGGACTTTGTTCAACAATATTCTCAGCAAGCTATTAGTGGACCTGAGATACGCCATATGGCATAACCATGAAGGATTAGTGCAGCTATCAACTTAAAATTTAATTACAAAAAAATAAATATTCATATCTTCATATTTTGCATTGCACCACCTTTTCACTGTTAAGGACTAACTTGCACTTGTTGCTGTTTAATTTGGGTAATATTTAAATGGTTCTCCTTGACTTTTTTTTTTCTGATTTCCACTGTTATGGTCATATATATAGGCAAGAATATAAATTCAAAAAATAAATGAAAATCACGAGGAAATAAAGGATCATGATTCAGCACCTTCCATGGTCACTTGATGTGCCGTGGAATTTGAAGCCAGAAGCGTTGGCAACATTCTTATTCAAAGTTGTTGTGGCTGCCTACTGGTACTATATACAACCTTTATCTGTAGTTGTTTTTCATTAAAATTACAATGTACCTTCACTTACTGCAACATCTCAACCGCTTTTTGTTGTTCTCCTCCCCTAGCATGAATATTCTGGATCTCTGTCTCCAGACTCTGTTTAATGTGATCAATGATACTACATTTATTGCCAGCGAGCTTGTCATGGCTCGTGCACCACTCTCCAAAGTCGTCAAGGCCCCATCTCAATTCTGGGTAACTAGTAAAGTAATTATTGCTTATGTTTAATTTTTCAGCCAATCAAAATTATCATTATTAACAAGTATATTAGAAATGGAATTTAATTATATTATAAAATTTTTGCATCCAAGCGATTTTGATGCCATCATTTTTATTTAAATATTCATTGTATTTGTTTAATAATAACTAGTGGTCCAAATTGTACTACACCTATAGTCACATATATGTATTATAGAATCAATATTTGTAATATGAAGTTAAGGATCTTGATTATATAGTTAAAAAACGGTTCCTTTTATCATTTAATAAAATAGTTCAAAAAATATATACACTTAGATACATACAAAATGGTTTTATTGTTTCAAAAAGCAGGTATATATCCATTTAAAATCTTTTTTATATTTATTAATTATTTCTCATTTTATCCTGAACCATTTGAATAAGATTAATTGCAAAGACTCTAAAGATCAATTTAACATTAGTATTAGTATTTGATATTGATTATTAAAAAATTATTATAATACAATTATATACTCTCCACAATTTAAATATAGGCTCAATTGCAGGTTCGATTAAATCAATACAAAAATTTCTTATTCTTGAATCAGCCTCGATTTCTCCATATTTTTCATACAAGTCAAAATAATAACCTCCAATATATGCTTCTAAACATTCAGCGTATAATTTAGCATTCGTTTTTGAATTTGTTATAGAAGATTCTGTTGACTTTAACATAGTATCTAAACGCCATTCAATTGCAATCTTTTTTAATCTTATACTATTTATAATCATTGCTCTACATACTGATAATTGACCAGCACTAAAATTAGGAAACAAATGATAGATAAAACAAGTTGCTAAATTAATTAATAAATAATTTGTTAAATAAAATTTTGACAATGATCATAGTAATGATATTATTAAAATCAAATAAACTTACTGTTAAATCCCAAAATATTGTCTCCAATAAAAGCTAACCGATTAAAATTATATTGACCATCAGTTTTCTGAAGTTTTAAAACCTCATTACGAATTTTTTGGTTATAAATAAAAGGAAGTTTATTATTCTTTTCTTCTATTGAATTTTTTAATAATATATTTTTTGAAATTAAAAAAAAGTCTTTTAATTTAGAAAAATTTATCATTTTTATATTTATTATTTATTTTTTTTTTTTTTTTTTGTAAATAGACTGCGGATTTCTTATAATAATAATAATAACTTTTTATTAAGTGACACAAAAATTACAATTATTTTTACTGTGGTATTAACAACGTTTTGTAATGTCTGCACTTTTTACAAAAAGACTTTCTAAAGAGCTTTTAGGTAAATACGAAGTTTTATTAAGGATATAAATTAAAGCTGACAAAATTATACATGTTAAAAGTATACACATATATTTATATATTATACAAGATTTAAAGATAAATCCACCAGCCGGAATAGAAGTTGTTGACACCGAAACCTTTAAAAGGTAAATTTAATTTTAATATGAATTAATTATGACCTTTTGCGCGTGTATAAATAAGTGATTAATTAATTAAATACAAAATTGTTAGTTGGAAATTAAACATCGATGGAGTGGACGGAACTCTTTATGCTGGTGAAAGATTCACCCTGGAAGTATATAGATTTTTTATTAATTTGAAACTTTTGTCGACGATAAAATCAATAATATATAATAGAATCGAAAGAAATTAATAAAATATATAATTAATAAATATATAATTAGTTTCGATTTTCTCCAAATTATCCCATGGAATCACCAGAGGTAAAAATAATAAAAATATACATTTATCAATATTAGTATAATTATTAATATTTATTTTTATTTTATACAATATTAGGTTGTATTCACCGGGAATGTACCAATACATCCACATGTTAGTAATCACATAATATCTATATTTTGGAAAAATTATTAATTATTTGAACTAATTCATTAATTATTTTTATATTTAGATTTACAGGTAAAATTAAAATTAATTCATTAAAAAAAATTTATATCGATATTCATTATCATATTTATAATATCGTTCATAATAATGATAACAGTAATGGCCACATATGCTTAAATGTTTTATATAATCAATGGAGCCCTGTCTTAAGTGTTAGATCGGTATGTCTTTCAATACAATCAATGTTATCAAGTTGTACAACAAAGGTAACGAATATCGCTAATTAAGAACAGTAACAAAAATAATAATAATAGGATTATTATTAATATGGAATTGTTATTATGTAGGAACCGCCTCCAGATAATAGTACTTATGTAAAGAACGCAAAAGAATCACCAAAACAAACTCAATGGTATTTTCATGGTATGAATGGAATTTATTAAATATATTGATATTATATAAATTTGATTTAATATTAAATTTTTAATAAATAATAGATGACACAGTTTAAAATCATGAATATTATTGTAACTTGCAAAAGAAAAATTAATTATAATAAAAAAGTAGAAAGAAAAAATTTCCAAATATTTAAATGTTAAGCATTGAATTTTATAAATAAATGATATATAAATGAGAAATTATTTACAATATATTACAAAAATAATAATTATTAATATTATTGCAGCTGTTTTTTATATTCTTCTACATATTTTGAGCCTAATCTAAAAATCAACACACTAACTGAAATCCAAAAAAATGCCATACAGGATAAAAAGAATATCGTAATCATGGTAAATAATAATACAATTACTTTTGATCAAATAAATTAAATTAAGATAAAATGTATTAGTAGAGCAAAAAAAAAAATTTCAATTCAATAAAAAAAATCCTAATAAATTTACCTGTTAGAAAGAGTGTAAATAACCAAATTAATAATCCAATTAATAAGGAACTTCCTAAAATTAAAATTGTAGAAATAATAATAAAAAATACTGAAAATAAAGCTGGAAAAAATGCAAGTACAATAAAAATTGTAATAAACAGCTAAAAAATAAAAAATAAATTTTTATATATAAATTAGTCAATTAATAATAAATTACAATATTTCACATTATTTATTAATTAACGTTTAATTTACCCCAAATAATGGATATTCTCTGGTAAATTTTTGACAATTCAAATATAATTTCTCTGCATAATTTAAAATTCTAAAAAACATCGTTAATTAATATAATGACAACTAATAATTACAAGCTTGTTAATAATAACAATGAAACAATCTAACGACATTCACTTTTCACTTTTCATTTTTAGTTCGTCTGCCCAAGTTTGTTGAAATTCCAAAGAAAAATTATTAATAATGTTATTGTTAGTCATAATTTTATACAAATTTGAAGAGGTGAATTTTCCGAATTCTGGCTGATCTGTTCTTAAAATTTACAAATAATTAACACCACCAATCAGTCTTAAAATTATAAATAAAAAAAACCTTTATCAACCAACTTTTTTTTGTCTTGATATTTAGAAATAATTTTACAAATGTCTGAACAAAGTTCTGAATCTAATAATGGTACTAATGACAATTCAAACAATAATAGAAGGCCACAATATTATTGTTACTCTTGTCGCAGAGTGATAGAACCTTTGATGGCTCCTTATCCAACCTGCCCTCGCTGCAATCGTGAATTCGTGGAAGAGGTGGCTTAATTTTCTTATCGTTTCGCGATTCTTTACAAAACGTTCGAATCGGATTCTAACGGTTTTAGCTCAGAAGTTTTCTTCTATACTAGTTAATTATATTTGTTCTAAACATTTGTACTATTTTTCTTGAAAATATTAGATTGAAGATGATAATGATCCAAGAGAATTTGCGGAACATAATTTAAGTGGCCATGATACCGATGATGAACTTGATGATCCTTTTACTCCTGGAAATCATCAAAATGGGCCTTTTGATGCTATGCAAATTATACAAAATGTAATATCTTCATTTTTACAGACTGGATCCGGTGGTCCTTTCAGAGTTCAAACTGAAAGTCGTGATGGTACTACTACTATAACTGCAACTGCAACTGCATCAACAGCTACAACTTCAAATAATGAAAATCAAGGCTCTGTTCAAGAAAATCAAAACCAACCTAGACAAAATATTATTTTTGCAATGGGAAATGCTGGCGACGATCGTCCTTCTCCCCAATTTCCAAGTCTCGCACAGTATGTTATATTTATATATATATATATATATATATATGTTTCTATTTTTATTACCAATATCATTATTAATATTATTGAAAAATAAATAAATGAATAATTTTATATTAATTATCCATAGAATATTTCAAAGAGCATTAGATGATATTGGAAACAATCCAAATTTGAATGCCCATAATATTTCAGGCGATCCAAGAGATTATGCATGGGGAAGCTCTGCATGGGATAATATTATTACTCAATTAATGGAACTACAATCAGGGTATGAAATCCTATATAATTATATATAATTATTAAAACAAAACAAGTTATCAGCAACCTTTGGATTTACCATTATAATGTGAATATTTTGAATTAGAAGGCAAGCACCGCCACCTGCTACGGAGGAAGTTATTGAGGCTTTACCAAAAACAAAAATATCAAAAAAACAAGGTGGGTTAGTGTCTGCATGAATCGTTTTAATTTGCAGGATATTGAAAAGTGGTTGAATTTATCTATTATTTTATTTCACTTTTATCATGCTGTTAATAATAACATAATCTTTATTGATCGATAGTGGAAGAACAATTAAGTTGTCCAGTCTGTAAGGATGAATTTAACATAGAAGAAGAAGCAATATCTTTACCTTGCTCTCACGCTTTTCATGAAGATTGCATAAAACCTTGGTTAAAAATGAACGGAACTTGTCCAGTATGGTTTGTAAAAAGTAAAATTAAAACTGGTGATATTTTTTTAAGACTCCCCATTTTAATCGCAGTTAACTATTTTTAGTCGCCTTTCATTAGGAAATCAAGAAGAAAGTAATAATGATCAAAATGGACAAAATCGTAACAACGGATCCGGTTCATCAAACAATAACAATTCAAGCAGTTCCTCATCAATGGGGTTTCGTTTTTTTAATACTAATTTACCCGGCTCATACCCAGGAAATCAACAGCAAAATAATCAACAGAACAGACAGGAAGATAACGATCAATATCCTGATCCAATGGATATTGACCCTCAGGATTAAATTTTTTTGGTGTGTTAAAAATTATCATAACCTGATTGGTTTTATTCATTGATGAATTTATATAAAATTTCTTTATAAACTAATAATTTTTTTTACTCGTACATTATATATAATAAATTAATAATTGATGTATGTGGATATTATTAATTATTGGTAATTAATAAGTTTTTCAATCAATTGTTATAACACATGAATTATAAATTAAGAATATCTTTGTATTTTTTTTTAAAAAAATTATTTTATTTTTTTGCAAATAGACATTTACTTATTTGAAGTTTTTGCAAATCATTCCAAAAAAAGTTTTAGAACTATATATAACAGTCAATGTAAATTATGTAAATTATGAAATACTTTTTGTGCCTTTTTGATTTTTGAAAATGTTATTACATGAGATATTTCTACATCATATTAAATTAAATACCCTCTTAAAATCGTACATATATAAAAATAATTTATTCTTTTTAATAAAGATTTTCATAAAATTTTTCGCCATATTAGTGTGAATTGATCAACTTTACTTCTATAGCTGGCATAAGGACCTCAGATAATTCTAATAGAATAGTATATAGGAAAATCTAATAGTAATCTTTATGATTTTCTTTGCCCATTTAAAATACATCACCTAAAAATTCTCTACCCGTTTTTTCATATGACAAAAGAAAAGTTTATAATTTTACTCATCTTAAGCATATGACTTTACCTTAACTTTTATTTCTATATTTCTATACATCAAAATTAAAATTTTAAAAATTGGTTTAATAAATTTTTATTCAATGAATCCAAATAATTAGATAAATTGTTTTTTGATCAATTCTTAATAATCCTATTTCACAACCCAACAATAAACCACTGTTTCCCAGGTAGAATAAAATATTATGTGAACTTATACATGAAAATATATTGAATCTTTGTGAATCTAAGGAAGTAAACAAACAGTAATGTAAAGGAAAAACACTCATGAAATATATCTAATTAAAATCAAATATTTCAAGGCTATTATATGCTGCAACCAATTCAGCTATATTTGTTAAATTTACATTTGAACTAATTTTTCTTTTTTTTTTTGGATGTAAAGGATTCATTGCAAAGACAAAAATTTTTTTGGGGTCATCTGAGAAAATCAATCAAAATTTTTTACATATTTTACTCAGTCCTTTGGAAAGAAAAAACTTATGTCAATATAGATCAATCAAAGAATTAGAAAATCATTCTGGTGAATTACTAAATGAATGGGCAATTTATTGTGGAATGCAAATAGATGATTTAATTGATGAAATAGATTTAAATGAATATTGAATAAATATTCAAGATCAATTGCCAATTCTTTCTGAAATTGCTCTGGAATACATATATCTAGTTTCTCAATATATAAACAATATTTTAGATAGCAATAGACAAAATCTTTCAGAAACTTCTTTAAAAACTTTAAATATGATGTATAATAACTCTAGTTTATTAATTGGAGGTTTTTTTTTTATTTTTTTAATTAAGTAAAATAAGATTTTATGGAAGAATTAAGCAGAATTGCAAATAAAATAGGCAGAACTTTAGTAGAAATAATGTTTTTAAACCCGCAGATTTTTGGTATGACCGCTGGCAGACTTTGATTTTTTTCACCACAGAAATTCATCATCCCTGCTACTTGGTAAAATTCGTGTTGCCTACACTCTACCCTTAAATGGTTAATTGGCTATTGATAGCTGATAAAATTTTTCTGATATAAAAAATTTTTTCTGAGGGCATCACTTTCTAATACGAAAATGGTCTTTGAGATTCAGCTGATTAATCTATAAATAAAAATCCAGTTGTTGCCCTTGTGTTTTTTGTAAAATCTTCCTTAAAAGTTGGTCAATTGGCTGATTTAACTTTGCTGATCGTTAAATTGACCAATAAGAATGATCAAAACTTTGATTTGTGTTATATACCATTAAAGAATATATACCATTTAAGAGATAAATATATGGGGGATTTCTAGAAAAAACCGGTTATAAGTCTTTTTTACCAAAATTGACTTTTTTACATAACATCAATCTGTAACATTGAAACTATAACTGGAAAAA